AGGGGGATGATGAGGAGAAGGAAGAAAAGAAAAAGGAGGAGGAGAAGGAAGAGGAGGAGGTGGAAGAGGAGGGAATGAGCATCACTGCTACCTCCTGAAGGGCCTATGGGCTAGCTGCTCCCTAAGTGCTGTCAGGCATGGATGTTACATTGCTCAGACAGACAAGGAAAACAGGCTCTGAGAGAGGCCAGGCCAGGTTTGGTCCTGAGGCTCTGTGATGTTGGGCACCGTCAGCAAGCAGTAGGTTGGGATTAGGGGGTGCAGGGCAGGCAAAGTTTTGGTTTGTTAATTAACTTTGACAAGTTGACGCATATACAGAGAGCATTTTCATCATACCCTAACTCTCTCTTATCCTTCTTCCAGCTCCCTGCCAGTCCCTCCTCTCCCAGCAGGCCTCTCTCCTACTTTCATGTCCTGTCATGATTTTTGAGAGTCACTGGATTTAGTCCAGGTTGCCCACACGAGCACGGGCGTGCAGCTCTGGACTTGAGCATAGTGCACTCAGAAGGTGCACCACTGGAGACAGTGACTCCTCCTCCCCTTGGCAACCTTCAGCATCCGACAGTTCCCATCCTCAGCACAGGCCTGAACGCTCAGAGGCCCAGTCCTGTGCAGGCCCCGTGCAGACAGCTGCTGCTGCTAGGAGTTAATGAGGACAGTGGCCACGTCATGCCCAGGAAATGCCATTTCATAGCCCAGGTTCCCGTCCTCTGGCTTTCACACTCTTTCTGCCCCGGTTTCCATTGTGCTCCTTGAGCCTTGGTAGACAGAAGTGTCCGGTTTAAGGGCAAGCATGTAGCAGTCACTAATTTCTGCCATCGACTAGTTATGTGTCTGTGCCTTTTCTATCACCCACTGCAGAGGATATTCTTCTGCCAGGGCTGAAAGCAGCGCTAACCTTCGGCTGTAAATATAAACATTTAGAAGAAGCTTTAACAATGTGTTTATTTAACAAAACCACGGTAGTAGGTTCCTCCTTAGGGCCTATGAGCGCCCCAGCCACAGGCTTTGGACCAGCTCTACGATACTGGGCAGAATTCCCTCCAGTGGACCTCAGGTCCCGTCAGAAATCGGTTGGGTCGCCATCGCCCTGGGGGCATACCTTGCTGGCAGGCCAGCGTTGTAGCTTGCAGGGTCCGTAGCTGGGTAGGGCCACTGATGAGCTCCCTTCCCCCGCCCTGTGCATGGCATCTCCTGGCACAGTGAAAGCTGGCCAGCACGGAGGAGGCATCTACACCACCTGTAGCTTGATTTTTCTCCGTCCCGTCCGCAGAAGTGCGGTATCTCAGCGGCAGACTAACCCTGCCCAGGCAGTTCTGCATAGGCCGTGGGGACAGCCATGCTGTTTGGGACCAACAACTCATAGGAGCTATCCTACACCCACTGAGGGTCGAGGACTCTGCAGGAGTGGCAGCCTTCCGTGCTTCCCACTGAGAGCTTGAGCACTTGAAGACGGCTGCAACACCCAGGACGAGAGTGTTCTGACGGGAGATACGTGTGCTCTGAAAGTGGCGGGATTTTAATGGCGTGCTAACGAACACGGCGGGCAGTGGGGTGTGGATGGCTTCCTTCTCAGACCTGCTTTTGTGAGCCCTTTCTTCTGCCAGGTGTGGTGGAGCACATGTGTTAGGGCTCAGACGGCAGAGGTGGACAGATGGTGAGTGAGAGGCCAGTTCATGGGACAGACATAGGAAGACTGCCTCAAACAAGCAAACACACACAGCAACAACAGAAAAAAACCAAGGGACTGAAGAGATGGCTCAGTGGTTAGGAGCACTGCTAGACTTGAAGAGGACCTAGTGTGGTTACCCATAGCGGCTTACCACCATCCTCAACTCCAGTTCCAGGGGATCGGAGGCATGCATGTGGGGCACGTATATCCATGTAGGCAAATTACTCATACACATAAAATAAAAGTAAAATCTAAAATAAATAATAAATAAATAAGTGAAACATGTGAAGATTAAGAAAGTTTTTCGAGGCCTAGAGAGCACTTTTGCTTTCACAGAAGGTCCGGGTGTGATTCCCAGCACACACGTGATGGCTCACAACCATTTGTTCCAGGGAATCCAGCGCCCTCTTCTGGTCTCCGTGGGTACTACATGTACATAGTACATGGGGTCAGGCAAAAGTCCTACATACGTACAATAAATCACCTAGAAATTGCTTGTAAAGGAAAGAATTTCCCTTCACCTCCACGCAGGTTCTTCTGAGCCCAGCCTCGTCCCTGAGCCTCGAGTCCTCGCTGTGAAGGGAGTTCTCACCTCTTCAGCAGTATCACTTGGTTGGGCTGCCTGGCGCAGGGGAGGTGCTTCTGTCACTGGGGCGAGCGACGCCTTTATGATTGGATCTGGAGCCCACAGCACAGGCGGGCATTCAGGTTTGGTTCTGCATGCCTGGCGGAAAGCCTGTGGCTGAGGAGGCCCCAGGCCCTCGTGGGGAAGTGACGGCTGCTGGCTTGCTGTGTGGATACGCTGTGTCTGTTGAACTCTTTCTAAAGAGCTTCGTCTATGCTCACAGATCTGCGCTGTTGCCAGCCATGGTCTCTCCCTCGCCCATCAGTCACTGCAGAGACTTGTGACTGGTCAGGGGACTGACACAGGAGGCTGTGTCAGGCATCTCACGCTCAGAGAACATCCACAGGAGAAGGCAGAAAGGCCATAGAGCCAGAGGGTGGACGGCCTGTGGGATGCCGTCTTTCAGCTGTGACGTGGCCACGGTACTCTTTTTTCTTTTAAACTTATATATTCACTTTACATCCTGATTGTAGCTTCTGCCCTCCTCTCCCCATCCCACTTCCATCCACTTCCCACCGCCTCCCTTCCCTTCTCCTCAGAAAAAGGAATCCCCCCACCAACCAACCCCCTCGCACATCACGGCTCATCAGGACTGAACTCATCCTCATCCAGTGAGGCAAGCAGCTCTGCCAGGGGGAAGTGATTGAAGGCGGGCCTCAGAGGCCATGCCCTAAACAGCACCTGCTCATGCTACTCTTGACTCTCAGCAGCTGCCGTTTTCTACGTGAGACAGGCCTGACATGGGGCCTGACAGCATCCGCCACGGAGGAAGGAAGGCTTATGAGGCTCTGCCATAACTCAGGGTCTATGCGCAATCAGTGACTGATGGGCGAGGGAGAGACATTAGCTGAAGTGGGGTAACTTGTGAGGAGAACTTGGTCCTGTAAATGACCTCTACCTCACAATTCTGTAGGCAGCTCCGCTGAAACTCACTGGCTCATGGGGGGGGGGGCAGTATAGAGGGGGAATTAGGAAGGGGATCAGTATGACTGGGAGAGGGACAAGAGAGAAGAATGGGTGAATATGATTGAAATCCGCTGTGCACATCTGTGAACGTCGCAGTGTTTAAGTAGGCAATGCTGACACCGAACCAAGCGTGAGACCACCATAAGCGGCACAGGCACTTTGTGTTTATGGACTGGGGTGTGATCTGTCAGGACCCAGACTTCATGCTGTCCTAGTTCTTCACACACAGGCACAGTTAGAGCCCTGCCCTCCTGCCAACTCGCACAGGAAGGGCCTCTAAGGAGAGAGCGGGCATGCGCACAGGCTCAATCAACTCTGGGTTTCTCCCCTTTTCCTTTTTATTTATTTATTCTTTTTCAAATTGAGACACATTCTTATGACGTAGCTTAAGCTGGCTTCCAACCCAACGCCTTCTTGTCCCCATGAACTGGGAGCTCAGATGGCAGCCGCACCTGGCTTTTGATATGCCCTGAAATATTCTGCTTAGACACTGGGATTCGGAGGTAGGAGGACGGGATTTTCCTGAGCTTCCAGCTTTCAGTGTCCTCCACCAGCGAAGCCCCATGTTTGGGACAGTTGGATTTTTGCTGAGTGTTCACACCCTCACTCCCCTCACACCTTCCGCCTTTCAGCATCCTGCTCGATGCCCGGGAAAGCCCACCTGAGCACCTTAAAACCGTCTACTCCTCTGTCTCTTTCGCACGTGGGGAGCCCCCCAGGGACACCAGGGAGAGCAGGAGGAGGGCAGTCACGTATTTGCTTCCCCAGCTCTCCCTTCGTGGACCTGAGTAGGGTGAGTACTTCCTCCAGGGACTGTCCTAGATCCTGTCAGGTGACATGCTCCCGTCTTTCTGTCCCGGGTCACAGTCCTGTCCCCTTAAGCAGAAGGGGCTGTGGACACTCCACGCTCATTTGTACTTCTGCATTCCGGCTTGTAAACTTTGTTAAGCCACAACCCTTAAACTGTTATTTTAAAGTCTCTCTCTGTGTGTGCACGCATATAGCATGTGTGTGGAGGTCTGAGACCAACTCTTTTTTTTTTTTTTTTTTTTGAGACAGGGTTTCTCCATATAGCCCTGGCTATCCTGGAACTTGCTCTGTAGTCCAGGCTGTCTTCAATCAGAACTCTGTCTACCTCTGCCTCCTAAATTCTGGGATTAAAGGTGTGAGCTACCGCCATCTGGCCTGAGGACAACTTTGAGTCTTCCTCTTTCTGTTGTGGGTTTGGAGTATTTGGCTAAGGCTGTTATACTGTGTGGTAAGCATTTTCCCCCACTGGTCCTCCCATTACATGGCACTGAGCTTATCCACCATGAACTGCCACATCCTATTGTTGTGGCCTGACAGCTGAGGACTTTGTGGAATTGTCAACATGGCTGGTGCTCTGTCTCCCACTGCGCTGTAGGCACATGATGTCTGGAAAGTGTCTGATGATCTGTATGTCAAATGGACGACCAGATCTGCGCTACGGCCCCTTGCTCGAGCACCCCATGCCATGCACAGATGCTCGTGAATCCTAGGAGCCATTAGGTTAAGCAGCACAGAACAGACGGAGTCTGGGACTCAGATTTCCCATGAGCCCCCTGAGCTGCCTCAGGGCTTCATGCCCAAATGAGCGACATGAAGATGTGTGAGGGGCATCTAGAACAGAGAGACAGTAAAGGCAGGATGTGTGCTAAAAGAACAGTGTACTTTCTCTACCTCTGATAAAAATTCCGGGACACAAAATAGGAAACGGACGTTTTCATTTGTTTATAATTTAAAAGAAAGTATGCTGAATAAACTGAATTTATAGCTACCAGATTTGCATTTACAAAGTAGATATTACCTTTATTCTACTTATTGTTGGTACATCAGGCTTCATTTTATCATTCTATACAAGGTAACGTTGATATAACTTCCTTCATCCGCGGTTGCTACCACATGCACAATTGCAGGCTCCAAAGTGGGTCGTGGCGTTTATTATAATTACATTTTCACTGTGCGAGTGTTGGAGGGATTTCTTCTTGTGATGAAATTGTGTACCCCACAATTTGTGTGCCTCTGGGAAGATGATTTCATGGGTGGGAATCACAGAAATATCAGGCCAAACTCTTCCAAATCCTCTTACCAGGCCTCAGGAGTTCCTAGTTGTTTACAATTTTCTCAAGGTTATAACTCCTAAGTAAAAGAAATTCCATGACCTTCCTTCCTGGGTTCCTAAGCAGGATGGGCTTCCAGCTGGAGGCGTCATAGTAGACCTCCTCTTTGCGCAGAGCTGCCCCTTTGATGATCTCCAGGGCGCAGTCCTCCTTGGGAGCAACTTGGAGGTTGATTTTCCCAGAGACCTCCCTCATGGCTGTTTCTGTGGGCCACAGGAAAAGTGGGTTATCCAGGGTTAGCAGAGCCTGTGTGATGGGGACCGCAGACCTCCTGCTGTTAGGCCCTGTGTGCTCCTGTCTGAGCCCCGCATGCTCTTGGGCACCTTAGACAATTGGGTGTGTCCAGTGCGGGCCAGGGCGGACTGGCCGGCAGTGGCCGCCCTGGATGGGGGTCTGCGGGCAGGGGAGGCAGCAGCAGGGGGTGCAAGCGCGCTTCTGTGTGTGCTTTGGAGGGAGACACACTGATGTGGGGTGCAGAATGAGGACTAGGTAGTGATGAAAAAGGTAGACGGCAGAGAGAATGTGGCGTGGCATGGTGCACTGTTACAGAAGGGAAAGCAGAACCAGGCTTTGGCCCCTCAGCACTGAGCACGGTCACAGCGCAGGAGCAGCCAGTAACTGTGCTCTCTTCCTGCAGGGTCATGTCTTCCAGACATACCTTCCCTCCCTTCGTCTCCATGTCTCAAGTAGCCCAGACTAGCCTCGAACTCAGTAGATAGCTGAGAGTGCCTATGACTTCTGCTCCTTCTGATCTACTTTCTGAGGGCTGGGATTGCAGTTTATGCAGTGCTGGGGGCCGAACCAGGGCCACATGAGTACTGGATAAGCACTCTACCAACCGAGCTACAGCCCCAGGACCTTGCCACTCCTTAAACAAAAATGTCCCACAGTCCTGGATGTGTCTTAGATAAACGTGTAGACACGTTCTCACTGTCTTCCCACACCCCTCATCTTTCCTGAGTGTCACCATCACGCTTAACCTTGTGCAGCGGACAGAAACGAGCACCACAGGTGTAGCACAGTGTTGGCTGCTTGTTTGTTTTGTTTGCTAGTGCCCCTTTTAGGCTCTGGGATGTGTCCAGGAGAACACGCGGTACTAATTTCTCCTATTTTTTTTCTTAGTCTGAAGGTTATTTTCTTTTTCTCTTCCCTCTCCCTTTCTCTTCTTTTGTCCCTCATGGCCTTGATTCTTTGAAGATACTGTCACTGTGTCTAAGGCATGTCCTTCCGTTGGATGCTGTGTGCCTCTCAGTGTATCATACTGAGAGGCCCATGAAACCATCTTCTCCTTACTGTTGGGGCAGTAAGAAAAGTGCACAGGTGTTTGGGAGCTTCTGTAGAATAACAGTGGCCACAGGTAGCTCACGTGAGCATAAGTATCTCAGGAGGGTGAAGCTGGCCAGACCCCACCAGCCACAGAGGTGCCTCAGTGAATGACAGGGCCAACACCTCCAGTTATGTCTCTAGTGCGTTGCCCCTGAGGAGAAAAGCACCCCCAGGGAGACAGGACCCTCCTTTCTTCACATGTTAGTGTTGACAGACAAACCTGTGGTCATTTATCCAGGGTCTTTTCTTACCTGTGTCTATGAGGCCAAGGACACAGAGCGTGATAGACACGTTGACCTTGGTCATTAAGTATTCTTGCCTAATGGTTGAAAAGAACCCATCCAGAGCAAACTTGCTTGCAGAGTAGGACGCAATCATGGGCAGGGCTATTTTCCCTAAATGGCAGATAAAAGAAGTTTGGTAATAAAGTTTGGCCTTAGACAGAGCAGGGCTGGCAACCCCAAGGGCTCTCCCTAGCCGCTGAGTCTCAGTTTCTCACTATTTTGTAAGTTATCCTGTGGAATTACGTTTCTGAAAAGCTAGAAGTTAGGTTTTTAGAGGTGTGAAGGCTGGCATGAGACTTGCCCCGCCCCCTGTCATAGGCTCGTGTGCTTGCATGCTTAGTCCCCAGTGGTGAGATGCTGGAAAGCTTAGGCGTGTGGCCTTGGTGGAGTATGTGTGTCACACGGGGTGGGCTTTGAGTTTTCTCAAGCCCACACCAAGCCCATTCTCTCCTGTCCTCCTCACTCCTCTCTCTGCCTGCTGCATGAGGTTCAGCAGCAGCTCTCGGCTGCTTCTCCAGCACCATGCCTGCCTGCTCCCCACCACGGTGACGGCGGGCTAACATCTGAAACTGTAAGCAAGCTCCTGATTAAATGCTTCTTGAGAAGAGCTGCCTTGATAGAACAGCAACTAAGACAGGTGTATGGGGCGAGCTGCAGCTCGCCACAGGAGGGAGACTGGCCGACGCTAAGCAACGTAGAAGTGACATGGTCTTCAACGCAGCTGTACGTTCTCACAGCTGCTGTCTCCTGCTCGGATCCTAGAGGGCCAGTTCCGTGGCCTGTCTCCCTTCTGCACTAAGGGGATAAAATGCCCATGTTTGACTTTTACACAAAATCTGAACTTTCATCACGTTGGTAGCTGAGGGACATGTGGACACAGACAGAAAGGATGAGCTCTTTGCATGCCCTATGGATGGAACGGAGGAGATCTGAGACTGTGGGCTCTCTTCCGAGCACCAACAGAAAGACTATAAATTCTTGTCTGCTAGCTCTGGAAGCCAAGCCACCTGGTGGACAGCTTCCCTCTCTTGCACATGTAACACTTTCCCTCCTATCCTAAAGCCTGAGCCATGCTCTACAGAATCTGGATTTCGTCTTTATTCCTCCACAGAGTGTGAACTGTTAAAGTGAGCAGTTAACACACTTGAAATGTATCTGGCCACTTGATGCCTGCATCACTTGTGAAAAATTACAAATCCAGAGAGACAGCATGCTACAGAGACCGAGGGTCTTGTGGTGTTTCTGTAAAGAACACTCTTTTCCCTTAAAATGACAGTTACAGACTTCCTACAAAATGCAAAGTGCAACCATAAGTGCGTGTCTCTAGTGGTTGTGGTGCTATTGCTGCTCTCTCAGTATGTCTCTGCCCTTTTCCATAGCAGTGGAAGCCTGATTTCTCTCTGGGCACACAGCTACCTGGAATGGAGTGGATGGAACACACTCTCCGTAGCCAGTCACAGCCAGGTGGCTAAGCTCTGCAGTGGTCAGCAAGCAGAGGTGGAAGGAAGTCTCTCTGCCTTCCATTCTTTCTTCCTAGATGTCTGAAGGTGGCGGTGATGGTCATGGCTCCTAATCTAGAACCATGCGGTAGAAGGCACCATTAAGACACTGCCCTGAAGTGGCCTTGCCAGCTCTGCTCCACCACCGATAGCCTTGACTTACCTTCTCATTTGCTTTGCTCACTATTGTTTTTAACTTCCATTACCTGAGAGCTGGACTCAGACCTTGTTTTAGATAGCCCATGTGAAAGAAAAACCTGACATTGCTGTGGCTTTATTCCTGTAACTCAGGATGGCTCCAGGAATAGGCATGTGACCCAGTTTGGACCAAAGAGACAAGGAAAATTTTGTTGGTGTGTTTCACAGAGTTCTTTTCCCTCTGGGAGTTTCCTGAGGGAGCAATCCTTCCTCTCCTGATGAACACTTTGTGCATTTATATGGGCTGGAATTGCTGCAGCTAGCTCATTGTCAGCTGAGGGAGAAACACAGAGGGAGGCAGGCAGAGCCAAGAGGACCATGGGACACAGCCTGAACTGGGTCAGCTGTACAGCCTGCCCTACATTAGAACTCCAGTTCTGCCAATAATGTTCCTTAATGTTTAAGAAAAAAAAAATTCAGAATATTTACAGGAGTAGTATATGCCTAAAATATGAGTTTTAGAGACAGGTGGCCTGGGTGTAAATTCCAGGTGTGGCACTTCTTAATTACAATTTGTGGATAACACCATTACTGAGCTGAAACAACCATGTAACACACCTACCACAGACTCTGAGCCTTTCAGAGAATGCTGTTGTCATCAACAGAGTTAGTATTCAAATCGGCAAGGAATGTATGAGCTATTCAAAAAGTCATGTTGGGACAAATAGCTAATTACTTAGGGGAATGGAAAATGCCACTCTTGTACCTCAGAGAATACATGAGGAAAGTAAGATGAGACAGTAAGGGAAGGGTGAGTTCTCATCTCAAGAGACACTTAATTCAGGAAAACAGGCGCACACAGTGAAAGGAAGGCCTGGAGGATGGAACGTAAAACTTGAAAAGCCGCCTGGTACTGAAACACCCACCTGCCCCTTCACACCTCCTTCAGAGACCCCTCTTCTAGCCTTGGAAGGGTGCCAGGCCACAGGCAGTGAACGCACAGCTTGATTACATGCCGCGGCCTTCCTCAAGAAATTGAAATAAATGACAAAAGGATTCTAATTCCTGCCGTTTGGCTTTGAGCTAAAAGGTTACGTAAGGCGTAAGGCTACGACTGAGAGATCCGCTTGCAGACACGAGAGAGGAACGTCAGCCAAAGCCGCTGTAGAAGGCAGACCTGTGGGGCGGGGAACCACGGAAGCTGAGTGCAATAGGCGCTACCTAGCCTTAAAGGCCGGATGCCTCATTTGAAAGGTCTAAGGCTGAATAATTGCTCAAAGTTAGAAAGATTGGTGAAAAAAAACAGATTCAGGTCTGTGTCTAGTGGCCCAGACTCCTGCCCTCTGATGCTGTTTCCTCTACACGTGCCTCTAGTTTTCTTTATTATTATTGTCATTGCTGGGCCCTGTTCTCTATAGTCACACTTTCCAGGAATCCTGCCAAATCCAGTTCCAGCCCTGCTGCACTGTTACAGAACAACCCAGTGGTTCTCAGCCTTCCTAAGGCTGCGCCTGTTGAACACAGTTCCTCACCTTGTGGGGACCCCCAGCCACAAAATTATTTCTTTGCTACTTCATAAATGTGATTTTGCTACTGTTATGAGTTGTAATACAAATATCTGGTGTGCAGAATATCTGATATGCAACCCATAGGTTGAAGACCGTGGGTATAATCCCTCCTCTCACAGCTTGGTGGGCCAAAGCCCAGCTGCGGACTCTAGCAGCGAGTCCTTTGTTAGGTTCAGGCCCTCGCTTAGATGCTCTCCTTTGTGCTCTGGGGTTGTAGATACTTTGGTCCCATTTCTGGTCTTCTCATCAGTTTCCCGCTGTACCTCCTCTTCCTCTGTCTCTCACTTTTCTACAAGGATGCTTGTTATTGGAGTTTGGCTCACTCAGAGAATCTGAGATTATTTCATCCTGGTATCTGAGTTACATCTTTGAGGACCCTTGCTCAGGTAAAGTTCTGTTCATAGGTTTCAGGGGGATGTTTGTTCTGGGGGCACACTCTTGTCATCCATTACACCTTCCTTAGCATAGTGAGCATACAGACTGTGACACTTGATGTGTTTATGCTTGGGTGGTAACAACTCAGCTATAGAAGCAAGAAGCCTCCTAGAGCCATTTTGGTTCATTCACGAAATTCCCTGCATCTCAGGCCTCAGCTTTAAACAAAGATGCATCATAAGTGATTTTCAGGAGAAAAGGAAGGTGGTGAGAAAAGAGGGGAAAGGAGAAAGGAGAGGCAGGGAAGGAGTCATGAGTGATGCAGTCTCCCTGAGGGAGTCAGAGCGTCACACATGGTGTCTGAGTTTCTTCTTTTGTTGCAACACGAGGGAGAAGGAGCATGTTCTGGCCCACAGCTCAGGTTATAATCTATGTCATCAGGAAGTGCAACAGGACCTGAGGGAGCTGGTCACACTGCATCCGAAGTCAAAAGTCAGAGAGAGCGAGAGCGAGAGCGAGAGAGAGAGAGAGACTCAAGCTGGCGCTCAGCTGTGTTTTCATTTGAAGCAGTTGGGGAACTTTCCCATCCACAATCCATATCAGCATGACCAGTCCACCACACACATGCCAGGGGCTCATCTCCCAAGTAATTCTAGATTCTATCAAGACAACTGTAAGACCTGGGGTCTCACAGCTCAGGAGTTCAAGATCGCGCCCTTCCCAGAAACTCCCCCAGACCAAGACTCATTGCAAAAGCAAGAGGTTTATTAACCATTGCACAATGGGGTCACCCCTGCCGGTCAGCAAAGAGTGGCAATGGGAGACAAAGGCCCTTAGGTTTATAAAAGAAAAATTGTGGGAGATTTGAAGTTGCAGTCTTGGCAATTTAGGATTGGATGAGGAAGCTATAAAGTAAGATAATTGGTTAGTCTTAGGTGCTCAAGCTTGGCCAGTCCTGCCAAGTGTGGATGCAGCTGCAATTGAAGGTGGGGGTGGTTAGCTCATCTTTGAAGATTAGGGGCTACAGACTTTTGGCTGGAGGTCAAAAGATACTCAGAAGAAGTCTAGGTTCGTTGCTAAGAAACACTATCTCAAAGACAAGGGTCTGGTCCTTCTTTTTGCTGAGTGAAGGTCATTGCTTGCTTGCCCTTTTTTTTCTGTCCTCACAGATAGGGTCACATTTTTCCATTCTCTGGAAAGGTACTAAGAGGCTTTAGCTTAACGTGGACCTAAAACTCAAAACTATAGGCTTTAGAAGACATATAGGTTACAAAGTTAGCCTAACCCTTTCAACAACAGCTAACATTAACCATCACATGTGGTTTATAAGGTGCCTTTAAAAATTAAAACAAAACATAGAATTACTAAGCAAGGGTCAAGACTAGGAGAAAATTATTGCTCATTTATCAGCCATTATGGCAAGAGCATGCCTGAGGTTCCTGTGCCGTACCGTCCCCACACCCGTAACATTTTGTCTTTCGGATTTCACAGCCTGCATTTGATCTGTGTTAAAATCAACAGTTCTCAGTTT